TTTACACATTCACACACAGGTGATGGCAGCTACATTGCAGCCACAGCCACCCTGGGGCGCACTGACAGAGGCGAGGCTGCCGGACACTGGCGCCACCAGTAGGCAGCAACGGGTGAAGTGTCTCGCCCAAGGACACAACGACCGAGACTGTCCGAGCCGAGGCTCGAACCGGCAACCGTCCGATTACAAGGCGAACTCCCAACTCTTGAGCCACGATCGCCGGTAGACTCTGCATCCACGGCTATTGTTTTTGACTATTCTCCCGTTAGCTCGCCATCCTCCTCCGGTAACGTGCAGCTGCCGACTCTCACCAGTTTAGTTAGTGCTTATTTTTCTTTCGCCTCGCTTAGATCCCGCCTTCCTTACGTCTGATTGGACAATAGGTTTACATCACCCAATGGGATAGACGAAAATACAAGATTGACAAGCCAAAATGAACTCGTAAAACAACTTGCAGCAAATACAAAGTTTTCCTTGTTTCACATTAGAAAACAAACCTTTGGTTTTCTTGTAACTTTTAACTCCGTGAACACTTAAATTATGATTGACTTCTATTTATTGTGATTTTAAACACGTTTTTAATGCATTTGAATTCTTTTTTTGTTTTTTAAACACATGTGAAATATTTACAATAAAGTCTTTACATGACAATGTTTATATCCTTTTAACCTGTAGGGTCTAAAATAGATATTTGAGACCAGGCTACACTAATAATCCTGGTAACAGAGTGTATGAACTTACCGTAAATCCTGGACTACAGAGCGCACCTGATTAAAAGCTGCATGCTCTAATTGTAGGAAGAAAATCAATTTTGTACTTGTACAGGCCGCACCGTATGCGTTTCACCTGTAATATGAGATATCTACACAGAAATATTACACGTGAGGATTTTTAACGTTTAATTTAATCCGTAAGGTAACATAAACATGGTAACAAGTACAAGTACAAGCTGCAGTGTTCACAGTGTGGGGGGAAAGTAGCGGCTTATGACCCGAAAACTACGGTATTTGTGTTGATCAAACTGTAACACTAAAATGACATCACCTTGGTTGAGTAGGTTATGACATTTATAAAATAAAAAAATGACAAAGTGAAACAAAGATTTCATTCCAGGCTCGATTCAGTCCCTCCCTCCACGGAGAGCTGGGACGTCTGGCCCACGTCTGCCCTGACTGTGATGCACCTCTCAGGCAAAGAATTCACTGTGTGTGGATATTCAGATTGCTTATAATAAGCCTGCTTATTATGAATAAAAGTCATGCAGGTCTCAAAAAAGAAGGGAAACAAAGAGACACGTTAACATGATGGAAATGAAAAGCAAAACATTTCAATAATGAGAAAGTTTTATGAATGAATAAAACAGCAAAAACAAGGATTAACAAATGAGTCTGATAAATAAGCAAAAGTAGAAAAAAAAGAGCTTCAACAAAACGTTCCCAGTGTGAAGCAGGAAGCTGCTGGGAGGCTGACCTCAGTGACGTTTTGGCAGGATGTGGCACCAAAAGCTTTTGAAAACAATAACTTTTTAAAGGGAACAGTTCTGTATTTCACAGGTGCAGATGAGCTTTGTTGTGTGTGTGTGTGTGTGTGTGTGTGTGTGTGTGTGTGTGTGTGTGTGTGTGTGTGTGTGTGTGTGTGTGTGTGTGTGTGTCTGTGTGTGTGTGTGTGTCTGTGTGTGTGTGTGTGTGTCTGTGTGTCTGTGTGTGTGTGTGTGTGTCTCTGTGTGTGTGTGTCTCTGTGTGTGTGTGTGTGTGTGTGTGTGTGTGTCTGTGTGTGTGTGTGTGTGTGTGTGTGTGTCTGTGTGTGTGTGTGTGTGTCTGTGTGTGTCTGTGTGTGTCTGTGTCTGTGTGTGTGTGTGTGTGTGTGTGTGTGTGTGTGTGTGTGTGTGTGTGTGTGTGTGTGTGTGTGTGTGTGTCTCTCTGTGTGTGTGTGTGTGTGTGTCTGTGTGTCTCTGTGTGTGTGTGTGTGTGTGTGTGTGTGTGTGTGTGTGTGTGTGTGTGTGTGTGGACACTTTCTATGTGTCTGTTTGGTTGATATTTATACCTTATTGGAAAATGTTTCAATTGCCTTTAAGCAGCCGGAAGGAAAGTTCGTCCTTATGTGTGGATGAATTTATGTTTGGATTGCATCAGTAGATGGCGCTAAAACCACAGAGCTCACTCACCTGCAGCTGAAGAGAATATCCTCCTGAGAACAAGGACATTTCTGTCCTCTGTAATGGAAATTTGTTTTTGGTCTATATCCAAGTCCGATGCACTTAGCAGACGACATCCTGGGCTTACCACTGACATCTGGTGTGTTTGGGTGGTAAACAGGAAGAAAATCACACAAAAGTTAAACTCTTTGTTCCCGGATCCTCAGGAGGAAATATTGAGGAGCTCCATCTCTCCTGTCTGATCAGATGATGTTCTCAGTTCCACAGTTTCGTTTTCACTTCATATAGACAGATGTTTGTCTTTCTGACATTCAGTCCAATGAATTTAAATAACCAGCTGTAGACATGCCAGTAAGTGTTGAGGGGCACCAGTCATATAAGCTGCCATACACTGGTTGTGCATATGTGTGATATGTACATGACACAGCTGGAAAAACAAATGTTGGTGTGAGCATGTAAACATCAGTGATCATCAGAGCACACCCTGAAACCTTTTATCACACCATTAGCATCCACATGTTACCCTAATGACCCCTCTGCACAGAAACAGACACAGCACACCTGGGCAGTGACCTGTAGGAGCAGCTTGAGGTTTCTGAATATCTGAAAGGGTTTGCTGGGTTTCAACGACTCATTAAGAAACTGAAAATTCACTTTTTCATGGGTTTACAAGTGTGGGGGTCCCACTCTGGGCAGGGACACAACTGGCTCAAAGATCCACTTTACCCACTATTAAATACTTGTTTGAAAACAAATAATTACAATAAAACTTCTGAAGCTAAGTGAAACTGTATATAGCAGATGTACATGAAGGTCCTTCACCACTGCAGCTTCTGCTTATATGTCTGACCTACACACACACATGCATATATGTTCCTTATTTAAGAATCTCTGGGTTCCTACAAATGAAGAATCTCGATACATAATTACTAAAGTGTTCCTGGATCAAATCAAATCAAATCACTTTTATTGTCACATCACATGTGCAGGTACATTGGTACAGCACATGTGAGTGAAATTCTTGTGTGCGAGCTTCACAAGCAACAGAGTTGTGCAAAATACAATAATGTAAACAAGCAAAATACAAGAATGGCTACATCTGAAACTAATAAATATATGTACAATATATAATAGTATATGCAGAGAACGCGTTCACGTAATGATTCATCAGTTAGATCAGATGTAATTATCTACAGATGACTCACTGAAAGAGGTTGGTAGCCTCGTTAATCACAAACAGGGACACGCAGCTCTGCAGGATTCGTGAGTGTTTATTTACGGTTCCCAGCTCACAGCTCCGCCCTGCTCTCCACCCTCCTCTGGGCCCCAGCAGCTACTCAAATAGGAAAGGAATGATGGAGGGTCATCTGTGGGGGCCACACCCAAACCCGCTGCTCCACCCCTCCCCTGCAGCTGAGCCACAAACCACACCTCGCCACAGTGCAGTTGTGAAACAGGAATGCTACACAATACAAATCCAACAAGGTGGCACCTCCAAAGTGGCCACAGAATTAGTCATATGATCCGTCAGCTCTGCTAGTGTTGAACAAGGGGCAGTTAAGGATTACTTATCGGTGTTCCTGTAGAGAAATTTGGGTGGAGGACATTTATTTATTTATTGGAGCAACGACAAGTAACAGCAAGCTGTCCAGTGCTGGATCCTCTATAGAATAAAACTATTTATCTGATTCAAATTGTTGTTCTCAGCAGTCAAGTTAGACATGAACAAACGAGCACAGTAACATCAAATATCCATTAACTGCTTTATTTGATCCCATTTTGCTTTGTCACAATCAGCATCGCAGCGGCACACAGTCGCTCCCAGACACGGCCTGCATCCACTCACGTCCACATCCGCTCTTTGTTATGTTTCGAGTGAAGAGTGAGCGAATTTCTCCCCACTGTGACTCAGAAACTCGGAAGCAAACGAACTCTCACCTGTGTTAATCTTCTCACTCTTGCTAATTATTTAATCGAACGAGGCATTCGCGTATCCCTCACACTCGGGACGCAGCCCAGTCTCATGACATGAACATGAACCAAAGTCGGTAAACAGCTTCTGTTTTTGTGTATTTGCCTCCTGAAAATGCAGCTTATAGTCAAATCTCATCAGTTATCACTTACTTCCTAAACAATGGCAGTGCTTATCTTAAACCCACTAAATGCTGACTGAATGCAGCAAGTAGGTTTCTCTGAGAGCGACCTTGGCAACTCTTATATGGTCCTAATGGTCTGGAGTAATGGGCTTAATGACAGTATCTGTGAAAGGAAGGAAAGTATGACATCATTACTCGTACACGGCGGCGCTTAAGATAAGTACTGCCTGGTTACAGTAAACAAGTCTTATGAATGTTTATGCAGTTTTGTGCTGACATTATGGCGTCACATCTGACTGACAGCAGCTGATATCCACAGTGAACGATCCTTTGGTGCTGTGGGAACGGGACTGCTGGTCAGGTCTGAGCTCGCTTCTCCAGCCACATCACCTCGCCACAGTAACATAGCTTCACATTAGGATGATGTTTAAAAATGTATTTCAATGATCTGAGCCTTATCAGTTAATAATAATAAGAAGAAGAATCTTGGTTGGTGGTTATTATCTATCAAATCGATGATGTCTTTTTGTCTTTGTGAGTTTCTATAGATGATTTAACTGCATTAATGTTTCATATGTGTAGATGTTTTGTTGCACGTGTTTCTGTCTTTCAGTTCTGCCCACTTGCTTCTGATTTGTTGATTTCATGTAACCTGTCAGGTACTCTGCAGAAACTTAGCCTGTGCGGCTAATTAAAAACAGGAAAACACAGATTATAAAAAACAACATTATTTTATTTTTCTTCTCAAAATATACAAAATGTTATCTGATCAGGGGAAGCATCACAGATACAAATAAACACATAAAACACACACAAACAAATCCGTATATCGGAAAAGTATCAGAAATGACGCTGTCTCCACTTTACATGCGGCCACACTTCAAACTATTAAAAACTGTTTGTCTTCAGTGCTACTATGAAGAAACTCCACCTGACATGCTCACTTGTATATTTATCGATTTGTGGACTTTTTCAGACTTTAAACTTTGAACCCTGACATCTTTACAGCAGGAGAAACCAGAGCTGTGGTGGCATTTAAACCCAGGACAAAGGAGATTCAAAGGAGTTTCTTCTGAGCGATCCTCACTCCGATCTCAAAGACCTCTCAGTGAATGGACGTATTCTTTAAATAATCCACAAAGGGAAACCGGCTCCTTCTTCAGGTTCTTGTGGCCTTTTCAACTAGACGTAGTTGGACTTGGAGTGATTGGTAGAAAGAAAGTGGCTGGAGCTCATGGACACTGGAGGGTTGGTCCTCCAGCATCTCCGACAGCTCAGGAAAGCACCACCGGCCGCAGTGAGGAGTCCACCAACCCAGCTCACAAACACGGCATTACCAAACTCAGGTCTGCCAAAAAGAGCAGAGCAACATTAATGTAGCACACTGCGTGTTTATTTACAATGTGTATGCATACGTGTGTGTGTGTGTGTCTTGATGACAGTACCTAAACAGCTTGTGTCCACTGTAAGAAAGAACCATGTTGACAAACCAGGAGGTGATGATGATGGTCAACACGCCTAATGAAAGAAAACATCTTTGATCATTGCAGCACTCATGGATCCTGACCCACCTGTTCACTACAATAACAGCCGCTCTCAGCTGCTAACTTCATTATGACTTCTGTCTTCAGTCTGAGCACAGGCTTTGGACACACCTGAAAGTATGAACGTGATTCCTCCGATCATCGCTATCATGGATTTGCTCTTTGGCACACCGTCCATGAAGTGGGTGCACTTCATCCCCACTGTGGAGATGAGTACAGCCAGAGCAGAGAGGAGGAGACTGACCGGCAGCACTGCCCTGGTAACCTGAATCTCAGCTGCGGCGAACAGAAGCACAAATATCGGTAAGAAATCGTAGCTTTATTACACCGGTGAGAGAAAGAGATTTGGTTTGTTCTCTGATGGCTCGGTGGCTAAAATCCAAAGAAGTAACTGTAACTACATTTACTTTACCCAAAAAGCAGCGTCTTGCTTTGAGATGATTGTAGGTGCGATGCAAACTTACTCGGCATTTTCAGGATGGACTGATAAATTTCACAGGTCATTCTGTCTTGAACACCAGCGCAGGACATCCATAAGCCCTCATAGGAGCGGTGCTTGCCCTGGACCAGCTTCTTCCAGTCCACCATAACAGTGGCGGCAACAGTGGCAGCGACTCCGACCAGAGAGAGAAAAAAGCCGAGGAGCTGCAGTCCGGACGCGGCCATGTTATCCAGCAGATTAATAAGTCCTGAGACTTGTTGTGAGATGGAGAACAGTGATGAGCAGCCGCTGAAGTCAGTAGTTGCTGATTTAAAGGAGTCCCTCCCTCGTAGTTGCTCAGACCTTTGTGCGAGCGCGCTGCTGCCTCCTGTTTTTAAAGTGTAAGGGTGAGGCCCCCTTTTTCCTTCCGCAGCCTTTGATGGGAAGAACGTTTTCCTGGAAGTGGTATCGGGCTAATTAAGTGATGACTGGATCACACCGACTATTCTAAAGAAGAGTCGCTTCAACATCACGTGGCCTTTGCAGTTCTTTGCTTAGGCTCCTATCAAAATAAGCCAAATGGGAAATCAGTTCACGATTTCTTTATTATCTTCTTTCAAATAATTCAGAAAGTCCCTTTTTAATAGTTCAGTTGTTTCTTTTTCAAACAAACAATAAAAACGGTCTTTGGAAGACACCTCCTGATGTCTGTCTTAACTTTTGAGCCTACAAATCTGCAGAAATGTAATATTAGCCTACATGATCCCCTAATTTGTTGTGATGACGATCACCTAATATGTACCCTGCATGTGCCACTACTCTGGACATCAGGGCACTGACTCTCTGATCCAGTTTAATCTACGCAGACACAGTTAGCGCCGTATGATCAGCCCTGAGCCGAACAGTCTGCAGGTCAGGTTGCTGGACGCAGTTTCTGAGCTGTCACGGATGAATTGGCCGATTAGTCATGTTGACAGGAAAAGCTTTGGCTAATTCTCATTGCAGCCGCTCAGAGAGTCACAATAGTGTTGTTTCTCTTTTTGGGTTTGTAACATGTATTTGCATTGAAAGCCTGCTAGCCTGTAATCACTGGATCACTGGACTTTTCCATGTTTTGTAAGGATGTGACTTTCAGATGCTGCTGATCTCTGTTGAGGCTTGTGATTTGTCCTCTACTTGTTTTTTAAGGGCACACCTCACCAAGCTGACATTTTGGCCGGTGTTCCCCTAAAAGCTCTTTGGGGATGTCAAACTGTTTCCTTTGACATTTTTTTATGGATTTAACTAAAAACAGACAAATGATTTGTTTTCTTTAAAGAGACGATACTAACTTAGAGGCACAATTGAAAATTGCTTGTTTGCTAAGTCGGGAGAAACTTTGCTCCAGATCACTTTAAGAAATTGCAAGAATGCGTCTTTGGCAGCCAAATATACAGGAATGAAGGATGTCTCAAGGTCTTTGCACAGCGCTGTTCTTGAGTCCCAAACATCCGTTAAAGGTCTTTGAAGCAAACGCTGACGGTCAGCATCCTCATTGTGACTCTTCCTTTGTGATGCACAGCAGCAGGCTCGTGCTTACGTGAACAAACTCTTTATTTTTCCTTTGACAGTTACTAAATTATTCGAGCATATTTGGTTCACAGGATACGTGTTTGTAAACACGTCGCCTGCATCGCCTGCTAGATTGGCTCAGGCTCCGCCCTTTCCTGAAATATGGCTTCATCAAAACATTTTGCTGCAATTCAAGTCCCAGATTTCATCTGACTTTGCCTTAATTACATCACGTCTGTCCTTCCTTTAGCACTTGGGTTATTTATTAATTAACTTATTTAAAGTCTGCTTAGGTCATTGTTTATTTACAAGGAAATAAAGGTCACTGGGGGTCGCGTTATGAGCCTGCAGGGAGCAGATGGTTGGTGACAATATCAGGAAACCCGCTTTTTTGTACCCGTCAAGTATCTGAATTGGCTTCAGCACAACACAGAAGCCTGAAGTGAAACTGTCTGATGAGAAGCCGGCTTCCTTCTATTCTCACAGCAAGTTGAAAGCATATGCCAGCCTGAAGAATAATATGTCATCTTTCATCTAAGCACACGTTATTCCCACTATAATAATACTGTGTTTGTCAGCCTTACTCCATACGAGCAGGGTTTAATAAGGAATGCAGTCTAAAGCTGATGGTTTGTAACTGTGCAGTTAAATATGTGCCATTCAGCAACAGTAGCAGGTTCCAGTGTGTGCTGTGTGTGCAACAAGTGTCCCTAAAAGTAAGAAACGTACAGGTCCATGCTTACTTGTCAGAAAAGCTCTGACTGTTTGGCGCACTGTCAGAAGGCCTTCAGGAGTGTCCTGTGGTGCCTGTGCAGTTGGCAGCAGACCCTTTGAGTCCAGCTGGTTAAAGTTTAAAACATCTTGACATCAATGCGAAATCCCTGCATGGTCACAGGACTTTGCATAGATTCACTGAGTCTGAAAATAAGTGTTTGTGGCCAGATCTCAATGCTCAAATGTAGCAGCTTCTGTGTTTCAGAGGTCTAATATGCATCTGTCACACTGGAAATTAAAGGCCAGCACTGAGAGTGTACTGAATGAAAAAAAAGATTTATGAACTTATAAAGTCACAAGATAAACAATTTTTGGGATTTAGGTTTTATTGATCCAGCGAACACAAAGAAATCCTGGCTATGTCAGAGCCATGCCCCCATCCTCTGGTTTGTCTGGATCCTCCTCCATCATTTGTACAGTTTAAATATTTGCCCAATTCTAACTAAGGTGGTGCAAAATGTCTTGAAAAAGTTCAAACAGGAGCATCAAAGGCTGGAAAAGTAAGTAGCACTAAAAACAGACAATTAGGGGAACATTTGAATCCCAAAGAGCTTTGAGCTTCTGTAATGTTGTTTGGACCCTTCCTGAGAAGTTTGTGCTGGGATGTGACTCACTGTCCTCCGCTGTTGCCATGGGAACAGTGGTCTGTGACTTTGTTTGGGTATCATAACCTTTTTCCACGTGATTGTCAGTAACTAATGTTTCTCTGCAGAACGTTGCAGATCATCGTTTATTTTTGTGTTTGTGAAAATAGAGTAAGCATCTGTTTCAATCAGCCCACCAGATCCAGCGGCTGGATTCAGACATCTGGACCCTGCAGTCGCTCATCTTTACTCCACTCAGTTTTTCAGCTTTCGTACCAGCACAGACTTTCAAGACTAACATGCTGCCTTCAGCCTCTGTTGGTTATGTAAATGTCTGCCGACACCCACACAGATGGGGCTGCAACTATTTGGAGAATTGTATTTTTTTTTTTTTTATTGACTCCTGCATCCGACTGGTTAACAAGCCTGGTTTAGCTGATTCAAAAACAGGCTCTGTGAGGACAGTGCAGGGTTGCAGAAAGCAGGAAAGTAGGACTATACAAATACGTATCAAAACTACAAAGAAACTAATTCAAAACTAACTTCTTCAGTCTCAGCTGACTGCAGGTTTCCCAACCCTTTAAACAGTGCATTTGCATAACGACTGAAATGACTGACTGCTTATTAATGATCAAGAAACTGACCTCAGGAAACAATGAGGGGATGCTAATAACTGAGAGGCTGCCATGTGGAGACATGTTTTATGCTCAGATGAGACAAAGACTGAGTTATTTGGCTCCAGGCTTAAAAAGTATGTTTGGAGGAGTAAAAGTGAGGCTTTCAAGCCTGAGAACACCGTACAAACAGTGGTGCAGCCCCAGAGCAGCATCGTGCTCTGGGGCTGTTTTGCTGCCAGTAACGCTGGTGTTGCACAAAGTGGATGATGGAGGAGGACCAACTCCAAATTCAACTTCACCTCTAATCAACAGCTAGACGGCAGAAACTTGGGGACAACTGGGTGTCCCAATAGGACAATGGTCCCAAACACACATCCAAACTAGTGTTATGTTCTTGGAGTGAACGCAACAAGAAAAGTGACCTCCTACTCACACACACCACCCAAGAGCAAAAACAGACTACCTTCCAAAGTGCTATGCAGCCATTTACATTGGCAGCGAGCAAACAAAAAGAATAACAAACAAAAGATCCCTGAAGGGCCCGAAGCTTCCCTGTGAAAACAACAACCAAAAGACAACTTTACCCAAACAGGAGAAAACTGACCCGTACCAGGCTGCTGCAATATAGACACAGTGACAGAGGGACACAAACGCTACTTTACAAATCTATTTACAACAGCAATGAACACACACACACACACACACACACACACACTCACTGATACCAATTTGATACCAACTGATAAAAGGTTTTAGGCAAAGACCGTCTAAGTAATCAGACCCACAAGTGGTTTATTGGGTGGTGGCTTGGAGCATGGCTGTTGTTAAATACTGCGTGATCAGCCAATTATCCAATCGCAGAGCAGTAATAATTCCACTCAGCCGGCACTGGACTCCAGTAAGACACATCCAGGTGTCCACACCTGAGAGAGAGGAGAGAAAAAGCCCACAGCCATCCTCTGGTGGGAGGAGTCACACACACATGGCCTACGTGATCTTGGGTCATAACACCAGTTTTTGGATAAAGCGGGCAAACTTAAGCTTCTGGAATGAAATCTAAACATGGTCTTTTCTCACTCTTACAGGCGAGCTTTTCAACTTGAACAGTGATAAACAGTAACCTTTACAAAAGGTCGAGCTTACATAAAAGGCAAATAAAAATTCACTGTCACTGAGGGAAAAAAGCTCGATTTTAATCACACAGCGACATTCCCTGGAATACTTCCCAAACAAAGAAAGCAGCACTTATTTTGATTGTTATCGAATTCCAGCAGGCTGTGATTGTTTCCTCTAACAAGTAAAAGTGTTTGTTTGGATGGGAAAAGTCTCAGAAGCAGAAATGCTGTGTTTCACCGGCACACTTTAGGCTGTTTTTCTTGGGATAACAAAATCCTCTGAGATCAGTTTTCTGTTAATGACCTCATTTCCAGCACCTTGTTGTTGAGCAGTGTTGGGGCATTAGTGCTCTGTGTAACATGATAGTAAGTTTTTAAAGCTGCTATATCTTTCTTTAATTTAAATATATATCTATACTTCTTTTAAGCACCATTGTGTCTTTAATGCGATTCTTTATAATCTGATTTGCCGTTTGTGCCCGAGCTGGCCAAACCAGTTTTCACTCTTGAGTTTTCTATTCTGTATCAAGCACACGGTGAGATGTGTGAGCCCAAAACGCGAAAAGCTGACAGGAGCATGCTTCAAAGTAAACTGGTGCAGTGAACAGAAAAGTCCCTGAACCCTGAGTGGACTAAACTGGACTAAACTGCCAGATTAAAGAGTTCAGTCGGTAATTAGCGCAGCTGATCAGAAATACTGCAGGCTTCGCTTCCCGTGAAAACGCAAAGCACCTGCCAAATATCAGTAAACATAGGTTATAACTTTTGATTTAATGGAAAGATTCAAGGATTTCCTTGCAAATACTGAATAATGCAGGCCTTTATCACACAAAGGGAGGAAGCGGGCATCTGGGAGGAGCTACGCTGTAAACTCGTTTCTGAGAAAAGCAGTGAGCCACCAACAACATGACAGCCAAATGTTTTCAACGTGAGCTGCTGGGAGAGAGGAGCAGGAACTGTGGGAGAAAGTTGAACTCGTTCCCTGATTCATTAAGAATGTGAAGTAGCAGTGCACTACAGGGGAATTCTTAAAGAAGCCAACACCTGTTCCAAGAAGATGGGTGACTAAACCAGCCTTTTTTCCACAGCCACAGTCAGACACATGAAGATCAGTGCCACGCTCAAAATCAGGCCACAGTATGTGAGTGAGACGCCATCTAGTGGCATCACTGAGCAAGACGAGGTGCAGGAGGCACCGAGAACACAGTGAGACTGAGGTTTACGGGTTTACAGGGGGACCCGGCAAAATCACCGGACATGTCCGTACGTATTTATGTATACCCCCACACACCGGAGCTAACCACGTTCATTATGCGCACATTCCACTGGCTGATTCAGTGCTAAAGTTTGGCGTGGCACACGCTGGCTCCAGTCCATGAACCAAGTTTTTCTTTGTTCAATCAAAAGAATATTTGCGCAATAAAGCCAAACGACAAAAATGAATTGATCAAAACTTTATTTGGCCCACAAATAATTCATTGCTCCTAACTTGTCTCTGGCTTGAAACATTAACGTTATGTGCGCACATGCTCTCAGTGCTTATTGGTTATTTTAGAAAGCTTCATAAAACCGTTCAACAAACGAATGGCGACAGTGAATCTTCTCATGTCCACCAGCTGTAGCACCGATGTAATTCAGAGGGACACATGGTTTCCCTTAAAGATGGTCCAGGCTTCCCCCCTTATAAATGTGCCATTCATTTCCATTGTTAGTTTAATTCCTCGGGGTCCTCTCATACCATGCAGACAATAGCTTTTATTTGAACAGAGCAGATCCCCCAGCTAGTAGGAAATGTTTAGAAACGAAGAGAAGGCCTCTTTTACGCAGTGACTGTTTCACACACGGACAACGTGGAACAACCTGCCAGAAATCCCCCCCCCTACACACACACACACACACACACACACACACACACACACACACACACACACACACACCATGTTGCTGATATCCGCTCAGGCTGCAGATTCGTAGGTGACTTCTTCTTACATGTGCAGTTGCTATATTGGTTCACTCGGTTTTTAGCTTGACTTCCATAAATATGACACGCTTTTTGTTTTTCTGCGCATATCCAATTATTCAGCGTCCTGTAACTGCACTGGCTGGTCAGTGTGGCAAAACAAATTCAGTACGTTTATGTTCTTCAGTGCCTGCTTTAACAACACTTGGAGGACTGCCTTGGCATGCATTCAGCAGAGACTCCCTCCGTAGATGGGCCTAGCTGCTGCTTCAAACCAGTCGGGTGTCATTCCTGCATCAGGCACAGCACAGAGCGCCTCGGGCCAAACGGCCTGCTAATTTTTTTTATTTTAGATGAGATGAGAAGGTTTACTTTTGTCAGCATTTAGGCGCTGAGCACTTTCTACAGCTTTGACATAACCGCCAGTGGGACTGTGATAATTCTGAGTCAGGGTTGTTTGAAAAAGATAAACATTATCCATCAGTCCAAATCTAGGCTAAACATGTCGCTCCCGTTACAGATTAAGAACTGCGTTTCTGGAAAAAGTCGCGATAGATGATGAGCTTTGTTCTTCAAGTGGCAGATTTGATGATCCTGATCGTAAATGGTTAATGATTTTTCTTCGTTTCTAGCTGAGGGTGGGGCCCTAGAAGCAACTCAGCTGATGCAAGGCTGCCGTAGGAGTGATTGTTGGCATGAAAAATATTATTACTGTTTAAAGTGTTCACATTAAATGTAGCCCTTATCCAGCCGGCCTACAATCTCCAACATGCTTATATACACCAAGCCAAAGGGTGTAGAAGTAACGATAATAATAATGACAACCTTTCTTTCTTTTTTTCACTTCACATTTTGTAACTTCTGGCCTGAACTCTCATAAAAGCAGAGCTGGGGTTTTCTTTGTCTCTCTGAGGGTTGGCTCGGGAAGGCTTAACAGAATAGTTCTCTGACAACCTCTACCGGTTTTTCCTGCAGATGCGCCCCAGGCTTCACGGGGACGAGCACACAAACTAAAACATGCAGTGAATTAGATTAAAGATGACGGACACTTTTTTTTTCTTTGCAGACTCACATCAACGAGTCATGAGAGGAAACGATGTTTGTTCTCTCTCTCCCGAGATGATTTACTCTTTAATAACGTCTCTAATCTGGATTGACAGAAATGTAAGAAGGCGGTGACTCTCGCTCTCTCTCATGAGTGGGTGTGTCTTCGTGTCTGAACACGGCGTGCTCCAGTAGATAGACAGCTGCATTCACCTTTCTACCTGCCAGGTGAGACACGGAAAAGACAGTCAAGTCCTCGCAGTAAACCCGCTTCTTCACCATTCTGAGAGGAGCTGAACGCGAGTGGTCCGCTGACCCTGCACGCCGGACAGGTGAGCTCATTTACCTGTAGACACACACCGTGCTGCTGTTTTGTTTGCGCAGTTATGCTAACCATTTAACCAACTGCCTTGCTGATCAGGATGTATGTAATCGTGTTTTTCCCCTCCCCAGTTTCCAGGTAAAAAAAACCCCAGACAATCAAAAACACCTGTTGCGTCCGGCTGACCTGCGATTATCAGCGCGACCCGCAGTGCTCAGTATCATTAACCGGGTACCAACACCTCGGTAGGCCCGCAGTTGTGAGCTCCGGCAGGTACAGGAAGAGCACCAAACGCCTGCCTCTGTCCGCAGAGAGATTCCCGCCTGCAGAACTTGTGTTATCCGCACAGCTGGAAACTTTGCCTGGGAATTTCTGTGCTCAAATTTCAGTCATTGTTTCTGGTCGTGTGTGTAACTTCCCATCCCGGCCTTTAGCGCAGGGCTGCCTGCCACATGGTTTGGAGGGATTTCTGTAAATCATGTTTTAAATCTGGGCTGCATAATTGAACTATTCCAGCGTCACTGACTGTTACACGAGCAGAGTCAACATCAGTGTCGCCACTGTATCATTTGATTTAGCAGCACTACAACCCAACAGCTGCATGCTGGTGGGCCTGACCTCCTCATGCATCTGCTGTCCCAGCAGAGTCTGATCTCCAGAGGATTGTAGCGTTTCCTTTAAGACTGCCCAAACTGAAGCCGATCACAGGTTCACAGCAGCAGCTGCTTTTCTGGCTGTTCAGGTGTACTTCCAGTAGTTCAGTTGTGACATATCCCATGGAGGGCATGGCAGTGGTGTTACCACTTGCAGACAAACCTTCAGTATTTCAGGTATGTTGGTGAACCAGCTCTGTTCTCAGAGGAAGGGTGTGACTGTACTTTAGAGTGGCAGAATTTAATTAAAACTGACAATAAAAGGCTACCTGCTGCTGGCACTAAACACTTCACATAAGGATGTTATCGCACACTGAGTACATGACTTTAGCATAATGAAAGGAAAAATGATTGCTTGTTTCCCTATGCAGCAATACAAATAAAGCAGCACTTCCTGCTATACTGTGTCTTCCTTTCATTTAGCATGGCTGAAATCACCTAAGTGACACTAAAAACTGAAGAGGAGTGATACGAACAGTCTCAGTTCAAACTGACTTTAAGTAGTAGGTGTAGTTTCTTGAAGTCTAAGGTTTTCAAGAGGACTCAAACCCAGAGGCTTTGAGCAGTTTCTGCCATTGGAAACTCAAAACCTGTACTACAGGTAACTCTGTGGTTACATGTGCCAGGGTCAGAGGTCACTGAAGGCTTCAAACGTTCTGCATTACGGGTTCTCCCACATCAAGCGGGCCCCAGAGGGGGTGACTGCAGGTCGTCATGAGCAGAGGAGTGAAACTAAGGTCACTGAATATCTTGACCAATAAACTAATGTGACCTTTAACACTAACCCCCCCCCCTGTATTCTTATCAACTAAAGCTGTGGGATGAAGCGGGCATGTCAGGTGAGATGTGCTGAGTGGCCTACAGCTTCACAAACACGTTGTATTCATGGTGTAAATGCTGATGCAATTTATTACATTTTGAGATGCTACAAGTAAAAGCAACTTAAATTCATTTTACTTTAAAAGTCCAACATGTTGATTCATGATTGGTAGATTGCATAAAGCCCTAAATCAAAGAAAACAGACAACACATGAAAGTAAAGTCATATCTGAAGCACAACATACACAAATACACATCACTGTGATCTGTACCCTCACCAACTGGAAGCACGTCCACTAGGTGGCGTTCTCATCAAAGAATAAATTAGGGAGACCCACCACAGTGGGTGCGCTAGCTCCGCTACAACCACAACTTTTAATCGCTCCAATTTGTAAAGTCCCTGAAAAACAACACGTATATGGCACATCTCATTCTGTCAACAGCAAGTAGCACACACTGTAGTTCAATGACAGTTGCATGTTTGTTCAACGCACTACGAGAGAAGAGTTTCTGCGTACAGCACAGGGGCTTGTTCTCCACGCAGATTTATAATTTCAGCAACATTTATTACAAAGCAAAAACTCTACGCAGCACCAAATGCTCAATGAGTGAGTCATTGTGTGGCAATCACAAACATTTCAGCAATGTGCTCTTCATTATCCGTTTTTTCCCTCTCATAGCCAAAAATATCAGGACCTGAAGAAATATAAAACAAAACACTAGAATTTCTCCTTTCTGCAAGCAGGAAGTATGAGACCGGACAGTCCTGGAAGTGACAGCGGGGAAGCTTGGCCAATGAAAACTAAGGAAACAATGTGAGGAAAAAAGAAATTTACAAAAATAAATATAAAGCTCCCTTTCTCAATAAAGACAACGAGCAGGATACAAGTTTCATGGAGGGAGAACCGAACAGTTTCCACATGATTTGGTCGAATGTAAAAAACAAGAACGCAGATTTACACACAGCGTCTGAGCATGAACTCAGGTTTGACACAGGCAACATGCATTTCATTTGGTACTGGTTCTTTTATGGGCCAGCTGGAAATGACAAGCTCATATGAAATATTGGCAGAAGACTGAAATACTGTACAGCAGTATATGTGAGCACATATTTAGTTTCTACAGAGAGATTATTATTGGCTGTTTGCAGCTTTAGCCCTTTCTGATAATAAAGAGGGAGCCAGTTAATATTGATACAGAGCTGAGATGCATGTACACATCTGTACACTCTCAGTAAGCATGCACATAGAAACAGTAAGTCATATACAGTCATACCACTACAGTTTAAGAAAGACAGGGTTAAGTGGAAAAAAAAAAAAGTTCCCCTCACAAGCAAAAAAACCGCAAACACATCGAGCTGATCGATGTCCACGGATCGCCGCTAAGCTCCACCTCTTCTGCGCTGGAACAAGGTGGGAAACATATGAAAGCCAGAGCTACCAGCACCGAAATCAAGGCTTTGTTTTATAATTACAGCAAATAAAACAAAATATAATGCATCCCCTTCAGAGTCAAAGGCTGTGTGGCACATGGGCAGCCCTCACAGGGCCTCGCTGCACAGCACGGCGAGAACAGAGGCGCAGCACGCTGTAACAAAGAAGCTGCCACGTTGGTATCTAAGACACTGTAACAGCCACAGTGGACCAGACAGGCATGTCCCATGAAGAGTCTCGAGGAACTGTTACATCCAGCAGAGGCTTTAAGCCCTTTGATGGCACACAATGACCACAGCAGGGGGGCAGTTCCTTCATTTACACAGCAAAGAATCATGGGAGATTTCTTTTGGCTAGGCTTAATGTCACATCAGTTCAAAGAAATATGCAATCACATTTTACAGATCATTAAAAAAAAAGATGAGTATTTCTAGCACTCACACATCCACTTCCTCAACTTTGGAGGATATTAAAAAAAAAAAAAAAAAAAAATCCCACTGCCAACTCATGACTGTCCGAAGGATTCTGGCCAACAGAGTGTGAATGGGTGAAAATAAAAGATAAACACACACACACAGGAGGACTGACAGCATGTGTGCGCACGGGCGAGAGCCTGAGTCACCGCTTGTGATGGGCACCTGAAAAAGATGGAAGAGACAGAAAATGAGCTCCATATACTGCAGTGTAGCGCTGCCACAAACGATTGATAGTCGACGTAATCGTGACTAGTTGACTAATCGTGGCCCTGCTGCAGTGCAATTTATGCTGCAGTGTTTATGAACTCAAGTTTTCCAAGGTAGCGTTCAGGAGTTTATTAATATGAGTGACGAGAAACCAGCTCTGGTCGAACTAAACGCCTTCAGCACTCTCACGTGTTCATGTAGGCAGTGCTAAGAAAATAAAGGGAGACGTTCCTATTTAGACATTTGGCCAAAACAAACCACTTGAAAGAAATGAAGATGTTCATTTTAACATTGATGATGTCAAAGATGAGGCCTGGGGACCAGAAGACTGGACATCTGGACAGCAATGAAAAATGTAAACTTTAGACTTTTAACTGGTTTTTTTCCTACTGATAAATGACCAAAGTAATCAAGTAAACTTTTTGTTTGTTCATTCCCAACTTCAAGCTTATTTAGATGCAAACAACATCGGGGAAAATACAGTCGGGTCTAAGCTTTAGCACGGAAACTGCATTACTGCTAGTCTTTAATGATCTTCTCTCAATCGCTGACTCGGGGCGCCCTGTGGTCTTAGCTTTGCTCGATTTGTCCTCTGCTTTTGATTTGGTGGACCATAATGTCCTTTTAATGAGGCTTAAGGTGGGCATCACGGGCAGTGCCCTTAGCTGGTTTAAATCCTATCAGAAAGGTCCTTTTCTGTCACCATGGGTACCTGCTCCTCCTCCATTGCCCCGGTCACCTCTGGTGTCCCCCTGGGGTCTGTACTGGGTCCTATGCTGTTCTCTTAATACTTGTTATCCTTGGGCCGAATCCTTGAAAAATACATTATTTCTTTCCACTTTTATGTGGATGACATTCAAATCCATTTTGAACTGGCTGAGGATGTCACGTCATCGTTGCAACACTTCTTCAATTGTATGAATGAAGTTAAAAACTGGCTGCTGAGCAATTCCCTCATTCTCAATGATAAGAAGATGGAAATCATAATCGTCGATAGTCAGGCTGAACTCAATGATGTATTTGGGCCCTTTGCTGACTCTTTCTGATACCCGGGTGTTGTCTTGGACAGTTCCTCTAAGCTGGACAAACACGTGTCCTCGGTAGTTGAATCCAGTTTCTATCAATCACGTCTAATCTCCAAGGCCAAGCCCTACATACCACGTAAGCACCTTGAAAAACGTATCCATGCCTTTGTTACATCCAGATTAGTTTACTGTAATTCCCTTTATGCTGGTCTCCATTCTGCCGTCGTTCAAAATGGGACTGGTAGGTTTGAGTCTATTACTCCGGTTCTTTCTGACCTGCACTGGCTTCCCATTAAAATCACATTGATTTTAAAATCTTATTGTTCACGTTTAAAATCATAAATAATACCACACCCAGCTATCTTACTGATCTCCTCAGCTTTTACACCCCCGGGGGAGCGCTTAGATCAGCAGGCCAAATGCTCCTGGTGTGACCTACATCTCGGCTCAACACCAGAGGTGACCGAGCATTCGCCTCTCTTGCACCCTACCTCTGGAATAATCTCAACCTATATCTGCGTGTTCGTAATGGCACTGTGTTTTATCGTTTTGCTCTGATTAAAGCTTATCGTGTTTAACCTTCAGCCTTTGGCTTGTGCCTACTGTATACTGCATAGTTATGTCTCCCACCTGTCAGTATATTTGTATCTGTAACTGCACTTAATCGATTCTGTGAAGCACTTTGGCACACCCCTGGTTTTGAAATGTGCTATATAAATAAAACAAATAAAAAAACAAAAACTTCTTAGTTAAATACTGTAGTATTACTAGTATATTTAGTTAATTAAACTTCTGAGCCAGTGTTGAGTCTGACAGCCTGATGTATTTCTATCTGCAGATTCAAAGTTAACTCTTTCTTTGCAGAACACACGCAGCCAGGAACGCTGGGAGAGACACGGCTATTAGCATCAAGCAGACTAAAGTGCAAAAACACCACAGTGTTGAAAAAGGGCAGCAGCTGCCTTGTTTAGGTTTTCATTTACCTCTGTAAGTTGGATCAGGTCTGGCTGGAGCGCGAGGGGCAGCAGGGTGATCTGGGTAGACGTAGCCAGGACTGACATTCTCATAGTCATGTGTGCGCGGCTGTGGAGGCCTGAAACACGTGCAAAACATTAATACATTTCTGCTTCTTTACAGACTGGACATTTCTTCTGGTGAGAGCCGTGTACCTCGGAGGCTTGTAGTTCTTCTGCCTTTGGTACTCGTACTCCTCTCGTGTCCTGGGCCGGACAACGTCCTCGGAGTTTGGCTGGAAACCAACAGAAATTATGGTTCTCGTCCCACAGAGGAAATACAGTCTTATATGGAAAAAGCACGCATGTTAAAAATATGCACGGTCATGGAAAATTACCCTGTAGTCTCCCTCTTGCCGCCTCCTCTCCACTGCCATCCTTTCCATGGCCAGCCTCTCCCGCTCCTTCTCTTTCTCCCATTCGCGATTCTTCCTGTACTCCTTTTTCTCCTGCTCCATCAGCAGTCGGGCGATTTCCTGGCAAAGCGAGGCGACTAGGTCATTTACCCCAGAATACGTCCTACATGTCACATGACATAACTCTACACAAGCGTCCCAGATGTCATCAGAGAACACCTGGTTCACACGAAGCAGCCAAAGCGACACCTCCAGTGCTGCAGAGCATCTTTGCACGTAACATTTATCCATGTTGGAGGAGGAGTTTCCACACACTCACCTCGTCTTGTGCCACTTGGGCTGCACGCACGTGCATCTGGCTCGCCTGAAACCAGAGAAAAGGTTACGTTCTCACACAGATGTTACGTGATGTTGGAAACACACAAGAAAAACACTTTCAGTTTGGTTTTTGACATCAAGGCTTCAAGTTCTTTACAGCTTTGATAACAGAGTCAAATGCTTTACTGTCATTGGCTGCTCTGGAGCCAATCACGTTTCATCATGTCAAATCAAATAATGCACAACAAAAATACATTTATGGGCAGAGTTATTCAAACATTTTCATTTCTTTACAAAACTGATTTCTAAACAAAGAAGAAGAAACTCAACCACACACAGACCGACAGACCTTTAACTTTGCTCTTTGCGCACACTGTTTGCTAACTATAAGCTAATGTGATTGTTCCCTGTACGTCACGGTGTGCGTGCACATATGGACAACACGTACTTCTCTTCTGGTTTCCTTCCTGACCTTAATTTCCTCCTCTTGCAGTTTCCTGGCCACCTCCAGGTCCTTCAGCTCTTGCTCGCGCAGATCGAGCTTGGTCAAACCCTTGGTGGCCTCACTCAGTCCGTACTCAGTCTCTGGCATTACTGACCCGCCGCCACGGTGCGCAATACGACCTGCAAAAGGCAAATCATGACTAACAGAGCAGGGCTGCGATGATTATTTATTAGGATTCGCTTCAGCAAAAGGAAATCTCATCTTAAAGGTGCAATTTACACAATTACAGAATAAAGTAAAGTTTGTATCATTTTTCTTGATAAATTAAAATGATTTATGGATCAAAATCATTTGTCTGTTGAATGATCAATAATTTGATGCCACATTCACACAAAAATACATTCAGCAGCAGTTTGATCAAAGCCAATGCACCTTTAAAGGGCTGCAGTGCATCTCCACTGGTGTTGTTCGCTGTGTTTGGGTCATTTAAACCTGTGGCAGATCTCAGATCAGTTAAAACCATGAAATGGTAAAGTTTAGCTTGTTCAATTAACAAGAACACACAACCAGCTCTGAAGCCCTTTATCAAGGAAACATTTGAGCTTACAAAGCTCATCAAGCCATAAGAAAGCACACAGCACACGCCTCACTCCAAGCACAGAGACAAGAAAACTCCACACTAGGCGAAATAAATCATTGGCCTCAAACCTGAAATCACAAGATCGCTGATCCTGAAAACAGTGAATCTAACGTGTGTGTTAGCGATCGCTGTTAGACTGACCCACCACCTCAGACTGCCACAGAAAGGTTTAGCACACCACACAGCCCCCCCGCAGAGCCCAGAGGGAGCTCGGGGTGATACCTGTCTCTCCGCTGGGTTGACTATGACTGCGTTCCCTGCCACGACCCTCCCCCTGCTGGAGGTCCCAGAACTCCCTGCTGTCTCCTCTGCCTTCATCGCCCCTATGATCTCCAAACAGCTCATTGGGGCTGGACTGGACACGGTGCCGTCCCCTGGTCCTCTCAAAATCCTCCTCTTCCCCCTCCCAGGAAGCCCTCCCTTCCCTCAGCCGGTCCCGGCTGTGTGCTGGCTCCACAAAGGCCTCTTCGAGTCCTCTCTCCCTGCTCCGGGTTCTCGCTCTTTGTCTTCCTTTATCTCGATGTCCGTGTCCCTCTAGCTCTCTGTCCAAACTTCGTCCTCTGTCTCTGGATCTTTCTCCGTCCCGCCCCTCTGCTCTTCCCCACCTGAGGTCCTGGTCTCTGTCCCTCCTCCGATCTCTGTCCCTCCTCTGGTCTCTTGCAGTATACCTCTCATATTCCGGTTCTCTGCCTCCGTCTCGGTCGTACTGCCTGTTCTGCTCTCTGACCCACGTTTTGTCCCTCTCTTTAGGAATTTGTACTGGAGGTGGTCTAGCTGGCCTCTCTTTCCTCCTCACCACTCTCTCTGTGTCCTCGTATCCTAAATCCCTGGCTCTGCCAGTCTGTGAGGGCTCGTGCTCTGGATACCTGTCCCCGTGTTTGCCTCTGTTGTGCATCAGGTGCTCAGGAAAAGGATCTGCGTGCCTGCTACGGCCTCCTTCTCCCAGCAGATAGCCTTCTGGGTATCTGGAGCGACCACGGGGTGCTGCAGCATCCAGTTTTGGGTGTCTGCTCCTTTTAGGTTCTGTTGAACTATAATCTGGAGAGTAATCTCGACGTGAGCTCACCGGAGCATCGTATCGCCCGGGGGACGTCGGTGTGTGATGTCTGGGTTTGTCCAAGTCTAGAGGTCTTCTTGCAGCTGAGCAAAGCAGAGTGAGAAGGCACGATGATGATGATGGTGGTGGTTGATGAAAACAGGGAAAGTTAACAACAACAGACAGGTGTAATATAAGTCAAGACAGTGAGCACCGGGTTAGATACAGCACCTGTGAGGAGAGCAGTGGTTAGAAGAAAGAGGAAATGCAGAAGATGACATTAAATGACCCAAAACGTCCCGGCAGTTGTTACGGTTGGAAAATTAAAATGTTGCAAAGACAGCAACAGCGAGTGTTAGCCGCTATCAGACAGTCTGACTGGATATAAAGGCACTCAGGACTCATGATGGGACATCAACCAGTATATGATGTTTTTAAATGGTTACAAATGGTCTGCTCCTCCATTGCACTCCACATGCCACTGCTTTTGTAAATACAGACGCTGCAGACACACCAACAGAGCAAACTGTTGATCTGAGCACTTCACCTTTAAGGAAACCTGTTTGTTGGGAGTCGACATGTGGCTGAGAAATGTTTGAATGAATACAAATGAAAGGAAACGCACAGCGAGGAACAAAGCTCAGGCCAGTCCTCGCCGCACTGCCAGTCAGTGCAATGGCATTCCAGTTATCCAACCAGCAGCAGGGAGGTACGAGCAGAGCCTGACACCTGCTCAGACGCCCACGGGCATTCGCTGTTTGCTCACCTCGTCTCACTTTAAAAAAATAAAATATTCTCCTATTTTTAACCTTTTATTCTACCCTGACAGCTGTTCAGTGACGAGAAGCAACATGTTTTTGTACGTCAGAGAGAGAGACTGTGACATCATCACAGTCACAGGTGCAAACGCCCAGTGGTGACGTTACAGGTGAGCAGTTACATAAGTTCTCACAGTCTGCAGTCGATACAGAGAACAAGCAGGTGGACTGACAGCGAGAGGCTCGCCCGTCCCCGTCTGCGCCGACAAACACCAACACGGAAACTATTCAAATCAGCTTCCGTGACAGTTTAAATGAACAAACAAGCACAAGATAAAAATCACTCACGAGCACTTTAAGTAGAAACTGTGTGTGTGTTGAATTTTTGCAGAGCACCAAATTGCTAGAAAACCAGACTGATTTTTCTTCTGTTGACTAAAAGGAAAAAAGAGATTTTCCTCTGTGCTTCCTGTGTGGGAGCGACACCACTGTAGAGGTTTAGTGTTCTGAGTCAATCTCAGAAACAAAACACCCAAAAGGGTTGAAATGGCAAAGCTGGTAGTCAGCATGTCACATTAGATTTAGCAGCTGCAGAGAGAAAAGCTGAGCTTTTATTAGGAACAGGAAATTTACTTCCTCCCACACTCACACTCACAACTGTGGTTCAAGACCTGCGACCGCACTCATGCCTCAACAAGACGCAATAAGAAACGGCCGCAGCGCTTCAGGTACAGAAGCAATCGTGATGACATTTTGGATTAGGACTTGCAGCAAAGCTTCAATTTTTCAACATGAAACATAAAATTGTGACACTGAGCTGCTAACACGTTTTAGAAGCCCCAAAAAACACTAAAAACATGTTGTTGTTTTTTTAAATACATCAGAAGTAAATCTAAAATTGCTCCTAATTCACTAAATGCCAACTCTGGTACAAAAGGCTCAATCAGCGCTCTGCACTGGGAGTAAAAGGACAAGTTATTTCTCTGCAGGAACACGCAAGCCTTCCTTCAGGGTTAATTATGTGCTTATAAATGCATTCCACAATCTTCAAGTCAGCAACAATCGCCATGAGTGTTAGAGACACGCCCACCGCACTCAAAGCTGGAGACAAAACCAAATCCGGCACAGAAACAGAGACCGATCACCTCCCGTGGCCTTACTCATGACTTTATATTCTTCTGTGAAAAGCTGTGAGAATTATTCTTTAATCCTTGAAAGAGTAGTTGTCAAACAGCTAACAGATCATCTGCAGAGGCTTATTTGAAGAGTTTCAGTCAGGTTTCAGAGCTCATCACAGCACAGAAACAGCTTTAGTGAAGGTTACAAATGATCTTCTTATGGCCTCTGACAGTGGACTCATCTCTGTGCTTGTCCTGCTAGACCTCAGTGCAGCGTTCGATACTGTCGACCATAATATCCTATTAGAGCGATTAGAACATGCTGTAGGTATTACAGGTACTGCACTGCAGTGGTTTGTATCATATCTATCTAATAGACTCCAGTTTGTGCATGTAAATGGAGAGTCCTCTTCACACACTGAGGTTAATTATGGAGTTCCACAGGGTTCAGTGCTAGGACCAATTCTGTTTACATTATACATGCTTCCCTTAGGCAGCATCATTAGAAGACATAGCATACATTTTCACTGCTATGCTGATGACACCCAGCTCTATCTGTCCATGAAGCCAGATAACACACACCAATGAGTTAAACTGCAGGAATGTCTTAAAGACAAAGACCTGGATGGCCGCTAACTTTCTGCTTCTTCATTCAGATCAAACTGAGGTTATTGTACTCGGCCCTGAAAAGCTTAGAAATATGGTATCTAAGCAGATTCTTACTCTGGATGGCATTACCTTGGCCTCCAGTAACGCTGTGAGGAACCTTGGAGTCATGTTTGACCAGGACATGTCCTTCAACGCACATATTAAACAAATATGTAAGACTGCTTTCTTCCATTTGTGCAACATCTCTAAAGTTAGAAATATCCTGTCTCAGAGTGACGCTGAAAAACTAGTTCATGCATTTATTACTTCCAGGCTGGACGACTGTAATTCATTATTATCAGGAAGTCCAAAAAACTCGCTGAAAAGCCTTCAGCTAATCCAAAATGCTGCAGCAAGAGTCCTGACAGGGACTAGAAAGAGAGAGCAGGTTTCTCCTGTTTTGGCTTCCTGTTAAATCCAGAATTCAAAATCCTGCTCCTCACATACAAGGTCTTAAATAATCAGGCCCCATCTTATCTTAATGACCTTGTAGTACCATATCACCCTATTAGAGCACTTCGCTCTCTCTCTGCAGGCCTACTTGTTGTTCCTAGAGTATTTAAAAGTAGAATGGGAGGCAGAGCCTTCAGTTTTCAGGCCCCTCTTCTGTGGAACCAGCTTCCAGTTTGGATTCAGGAGACAGACACTATCTCTACTTTCAAGATTAGGCTTCAAACTTTCCTTTTTGCTAAAGCATATAGTTAGGGCTGGACCAGGTGACCCTGAATCCTCCCTTAGTTATGCTGCAATAGACGTAGGCTGCCGGGGATTCCCATGATGCATTGAATCATATCTGCTATTAATCTCTGTCTCTCTTCCACAGCATGTCTTTATCCTGTCTTCCTTTTCTCACCCCAACCAATCACAGCAGATGGCCCCGCCCCTCCCTGAGCCTGGTTCTGTTGGAGGTTTCTTCCTGTTCAAAGGGAGTTTTTCCTTCCCACTGTCGCCAAAGGGCCGCTCATACAACGGTCAGCCGTTTTACAGATAGAAAACTAGCTTTGCTCCGACAGCCATAAGTCAACATAAATGAGGCATTTACATAAGTCAGCGGTGCTCTCCTCACCTCCATGATCTTCATCAAAGCGCGTTTCCAGCTGCTTATGTCTCCTCCTGTCCTCTTTCATCTCCTTCTCCTGCAGCTTACGAGCGATGGCCTGCAACAAAACAACGCAACAGTAAGCACGTCGTCCCGCATCAATATAGAAATGTCCCACTTAGACAAAGGTCATATTTCTTTGGGTGCACGTACAGTAGCTCGCTTCTCAGGCCAATTAGCACATGCTTCGTACACCTTATGGAGCACGTAGGAGGCGATCTGACCCAAGTTAGCTCACTCTGACTAATCTAACACAAACAGTGTTGCTGATTGGGAAACAGAATCTAGGATTTCTCAGCTTTCCCATTTATCAACAATGTGATTGTAATGTTTAAAAAAAAAGAAAAAAAAAAAAAGGTCCCAATTACTTAAAAATAAAATAAAATAAAATAAAAGTGGAAACAAAGGCGCAATGATTGGAAAAGAATGACCCGCTCAAAACAGGAAGACTAGAAACAACTGAGGGGTAGAAACAAGCAGCACTGCCTCAGGTCCACTTCCTACCGCATCTTTCTCTTCTTGCTGTCGCTGTCGCTCTGCCTGTCGGACCAGTTCCTCCTGAATCTCCTGGGCGATCTCGTTATCTTGCCGCTCGCTGGGGTTCACATGCGTTGCAAGCATGTACGAAGAGAAGAAGCGGGAAAATGTTACAGCAGGGATGTAATGGAAGGACATTTTTAAATTCACAGCTTTGCTTAAAGATGCATATTTACACTGACACATTTGTTAAATAAGCCTTATTACACTTTTCAAGTCTCAATTATTCTGATGACAAACTCACACAGTGGTGCTGAAACCGGCTCTGGTACTACACACGTTAGATTGTTGTGTATATAAAGGTTTAAAAGCCTCACTGACTTCAACACTGTGAAAATGATGCACTTTTTTGTCACTTACAGTTTTCAGTAATTCTGTTTCATAAGGGGAGTCAACACCCGAACACTCAGCTTTGAAGTCATCCAGCATGTTGTGAATGATGGTCAGCGCGCCTCAGGCAGGAGCAGGAGGATCTTAGCTCACTGCAGGGTTGATCTCACTAGCGCCTTGGCTCACGCTCATCTTTGAAGCTGCACGATTTAGTCAAAAACACCATCTGCCTGCAGGGCTGGTGTGTGAAAATCCTTACAGTGTGTGCAGACGCACCTGAGTGTGAAATCTTACTAACAGAAGGAGGAGCTTATACAACCCACGCCGTACCTGGATTTGACCCGAGTGGTTAACGGCTTAGGATGAATTAAAGTGGCACATGTAAACAAACTGCTGCACCTGAGCGTCTTGAAACAGTACGTGCTGAGAAAGAAGTGATGCTGTTTAGTCCGGTGTCTAAGTGGCGAGTGTGGGATAGACGGTGAGCTTGGAACAAGACCGGCAGCACCGGCCTGCATGCGTCGGTGAGGCATCTGGCACCCAGGGAGTGCAATCCCTCTACTCGAGCCCTGCATGTTTATGTGTGTTTAAAATAAGTGGGTTCGGCGAGTCAGCGCTTTTATGTTGATTAAAACTGCAGAGCACAGAAAGACTCCAAGTGCCTTTTTGCACACTTGGGATGCAACTGCTGCTTTGGGCTGAAACAGAGACAACAGAGCTCTCTGCTATGTTCAGCGGAGCCAGATTTATGTTTCTGCATCAGGCCACTGTGGTTAGTAAGTGTACACGCTGCATTGCTTTGGACATGCAGTTGGAAGCAACCCAAACCCCTCGGGGAATATAATTATACATCAGCGGTGACAAAGACACCACACAGACTCCATAACAACTGAAGAAGATCTGCTTATGCCGTTTGTTTCTGCATGTTTCTAAAGCAGGATAAAGACTGAAAGCATTTTGTAGGTTAGCTTGAGTCTATGAGTCTCCTAACACAGATATAACATGTCTTTAGCACAGACCTGTTAGGAAGTCTGTTACATCCTACGCCTAATTGACACATGGCTCAGCAACATCTGCTCTTAAATAATCTGAAAACCAGCTGGTCAGCAGAACCAGCTCCAAACCTCATGATTGCTCCTTGGCAAAAACAAGATTGAAAGCATACTGAATGACAGGATCTTCTCATTTATAACAATAACAGTGTTAAACCTACTCTGAACAATCACTCAGCAGGAGTCACCTAGAGCGCTGCGCTGGCTGACCTCGCTGCTGAAGCACAAATCTGTCCGAGGACGGGGTTTGGGAGTAATTACATGAGATTAGACTAATTGGAAACAGATGCCATCATCAAAGTAACTAATAACGCTCACAGCGAGTACTGCTGAGTAATCTGATGGCTTTAAAAGTCCTCGAGGTGCATCGAGTGCTTCATTTCAAAAACCAAACATCCAACCAGCAGATCCTTATTTTTCTACTTGGACAAATGTTGCTCATATGCACAACTATAACCAGGCGCATGCTTTTATGCAACTGCTGACTCTAGTATGACTTTTCATTAGCACAAAGCTCAATGAATAAATGTGCTCCATGGCATTATTGATTTGGACTTTATCTGAGCCATCAGCCACATCTCCAGGAATTCCTGCTCTTCTTACATTTAACAGGTGTGTATGAGGCTGACGTGTGAGGGACACCTACATGGCAACGTTCTCTTTCTGAGTCTTGATCTTGGCCCTCTCATCCTCCTCCTCTTGGAGCTTCTTGGCCACCTGCAGGTCGTTCTGCACCAGACGGCTCTTATAGACATTGGAGGCCAAGTGGCTCTCAACTGTTGACACACACACAGAGACACACACACACAGGCTTGACTATCAGTGAGATAACATAAATGTTGAACAGCAGAGGTTATTTGCAGGTCTACACGTCAGCGTCTGAGGACAAGAGAAACGCCGCGGCCGTTTCAGCCTCTGCTATTCAACAGACTGCGCTCTCAGTCGCTGAGGAATGAATGTTGGCGGCTGAGGCGTCGTTCCAAGGTTGTGTGACGGCATGCAGTCGACCATAACAGATGAGAAATCCTGCTTGCTGACGCACTTCTAGCACTTTGTAAGCAGCGCATCACTCACTCGCTCAGTTCTGTTCACTTTGTTATTGATCCGGGACAAAATTACATTTGGCAATTTGTACGCGAGGAGCTCCATAAGGTCTGTGTCTGTGATCGGTGGGATGGAAACAGGAAACCATGTCACAGCTGTGCCATCATGATAAAGAGTCGAGGGACTGACATCGATTTTTGGGGGGTTCTCTTGAATGACGCTGGGATTAATTTTTCACGTGCTGACAGCCCATGAAAAAAAAAAAAAGTCTGAAGGTATAACTGAAGTCACACCGTAAAATGAAGGACATTTATCCACTGCCATGTTTGCCGTGTCAACAGCAATCTGGATTCATCTTTCAAGGAAACAAAATGGACATTGTGAAATCTGTTCATAAAACACATCCTCTGAAGAGGCCTCGGGCCATTCAGGAAAAGAAACAACGCTGAGCTGTGAGAACAGACACCAGTGGAAATCTGCACGGTGAAAAGAAGCAAACACAGAAACGGAAGATGCCAAGTGCTGACACGGCCTTGCAGAAATGTTTCCATGTGACATTTGGACACTTTGCAGTTCCGCATGCTCAACATTTTGAATGGGAACAAAAGCCAGCTGTATCTGCACATGAACACAAACTCAATGTGCTTAAAATCTTCTTTTGGACGCCATCTGCTGATGTGATCCATGAAGAAAAACAAAACAGAGGGGGGGGGGCACTGCATATTTAGAGAACTACTGAAATATATTAAATGGCATCCTCCCTTTTGACTTCCAGGGTCAAAGTTGAAAGAACACTCTGCCAACACAAACCTGATCAGTTACTGTGGCAACAAAGGAGCAAATGGAAATGAGCCTTGGTGGTAGATCCCTACAGCTTTAAAAGGGCACAATCACATTCATTACAGCTAATCTGCACTGAGAGTGTGGCTGGATGACATCTGCCTTCCTCTTATTTAGCAGAGCTCGTGGCATAATTTACCTTTATATGGTTTTACAATGGAGGAAACGGAAAGACAAACTAGTGTCCTCTACAGCAGCGCGTTCTCTCGGTTCACACTCTAAACTTAGTGCAGAGGTTCACCAGACTCGATAATAATACAGCAGCAGCCCGTCTCTGATGCACGGAAAGAACCTGAAAAAGATGTTGATGTGAGATTTCAACAACTTATCTTGATGCGAGGGAACGGAGCCCTCTATAATGACTCTAATTACTTGCATATGTGCTCACATTAAAGTACCAGCTAGCGTAAAAGGAGACACAGATGCAGTGTGTTCAGCTCTACAATCAGAGCTTTCTGTGCTACAGCTGCTGCACACAAAAAAGCCACCTCACTGCTCTGATGCAGAGCTTTGTGGCGTCCCGCAACATGGCTCGACTAATTGTGTACCAGGGTTTATACGGGCTTAATCAGACTGCAGCCACTGACGCCGCGCTCTGCCCTGCAAATAGCAAAGTGGAGCATCGTGGGCTGCATGCATGCTTTTACTGCTACAAATAAAACATAATTCAAAGCTTGATTTTTAGCAAAGTGATACCAAATGATTTAGGAAAGAAACAATCTGCAGTTACAGAAAAATCCCAATGCAGAAAACAGTGCAATAATAAATGGCACCAAGTGTTTAAACAGACTCTCCACATACAGACCTCTCTGTATAAACTTGGATTTCTGTCACGTGAATAACGCAGCCACACTTTCGTCTGCCTGAACACAGTCAGGGAAAGCAAACGTCTGAAGGAGGGAGAGGGCAGCACTGTTTGTCAAACGCTTGTTTTACCCGTGACACTCCTCAGGAGTAGAAACTCATTTTATCAAGAGTCAAGCTGAATGTGAGAATGAATGAGAACCACTGCCTTAGGATGAAGAAAAACCCCAAACATGACTAATGTGTAGATGCTTACTTTCTTGTTCCTGGAGGTTATAGGCCAGGGAGTGGTCCTCCAGCACGGCAAAGTCTCGGCACACTAAAGAAAGGAAGAAAAACAGGCTTCATTTAAAAACGAGTGCTGGAAAGTGTAGCAAACGTTACAATCATTCAAACAGCCCCATGTATTCAAACACAGAGCTATGCTCCCAGTTAAACACAAGCTTGAGGAAGAAGAGACGTCAATTTGAATCAGACTTCTCACGGTTTCCCCGTTTAACATCTGGCACGTCTTCCCTCATGTGCTTAATCAATAAAAATGAATTTAAAGTCATGACGGAAGGCAAAGTGTCAGGATTCCACCAACAGGGAATCAAATGTGTCACGATACTGAGAAACTACTCCTAAAACTGTTTTTAATCTGATAAGCTGAGCAGAGTGCCTCGCTGCACAATGAGCACATCATTCTTAGCTACACAAAGTGATTTTAGATCCTGTCTGACCTTCTGGAATTTGTTTTTGGATCTGAGATGAACTGAAAGTGAAAGAGGAAGCGCTCTGCACTCAGACTAAAAAAGCGCTCAGGGTTTTTTATCTTGACAAGTTATTTTAAGGTGAGAAGAAGTGAGAAAACGTTTTGTTGCTGCCCTAAAGTGCAATTCAAAAGGCAACATTTAGTTGCTCATCTAGCAGAAAACACATCCCAAAGGCAGTAAAACGAAACGTGTTTGTGTATAGCCAAATAAGCTACAGTAAGTAAAGTAAGATTAACCTGAATTTTCTATCTAAGCTGAGTTTTTATGACGCAGGACTTTTTTCCTGTTGTTTTCAGGCCTGGCCAAAGACTAAAAGTCCACCAGCCACAATCTCAGCTCTGTAGGAAGAGAATAAAAATGTTTTCTTAAAGAAAAAAATATGAACTGCTCATTTTCCATATCTACAGATAACCCGAGAGCAAACTTTCCAGGCTTGGTTTCGGTATCACTGGTGCTGCTAAAAGATTCATCCTGAAAACAACAGTTTCGGCTGATGGAGTAGGTGGGGATTTTTTCCTCCGAAACCCCCCAGCACCAAACGTCATCCCGACACATCCACCTGATCCTTCTCAACGACGCACACAGCTCGTGTCTCTTCACGTTTGCTCCAGATCTTTAACAGCAGACGGTTTCCTGTTAAGAAGAACTAAGGAGGCGGTTTTAGGCCTTTCTCACAACCTCAGCTAAACATGAATGTGGACTTAAAAGTTCTGTCAGCGTAGCTTAACTCCCCCTACTTAGCAACTTACCATAGCATCATATAAACAGAATACTCTGTCATGGCTTCATCAAACAAAAAGCCTTCAGAAGTGTGGAGCTGGCACCAGATCGCTTCAACAAAGCAAAAGCAATCTGGCATCATACATATTCACCAGTGTCGATCAGTTTGTGGAGCTCACACTGTCTCCTCACCCCTGTTAAGCTTACAGTCCAAAGATTACTTCATCCACATGAAATATTAATAACCAGTAACTGCCTGTGACTGTAGAGATCGCTGGGAGGGAATCGACCACCATTAGGCAAACACACTTGATAAATCATCCAGACTGCCTCGTTGTGCACGATGGCTAATGACAGATGCTTTGAAGGAGGATGACACCTCCACCGAGCATTTTCTCAACCATATGCTTAATCTTCTTAGCAAAGAGACTGTATCGTGGCTGCTGCTGCTTTATACGTCAACAGTACTTTAACAGTTGCTTTTAAACAGACTTCAGAAGAATTCAGCACAAGTGAAAGACGGGTTACAGCTGCACTCACGGTTTAGGTTTTCACACCATCATTCACTTCAGGACCTGAAATAGAAAATAGGTCTAACATGTGTGCACTATGCAAATAGATGGACACTTCTGCGTTTAATAAACCACAAGAACATCTAAATATAAGTAAATATTTCAAGTTCATTTCTGCACCTCGTTGTTTTTACTGTTTTCTAACTTTTCCAGCAGTTTTGTAGAGTCCATCCCTTCCCAATGCAGACTAGACAAGCAGTGCAGGATTCTTCTCTCTCTGACCAGAATAACAAACATCCTGCCCAGCAGCTGCTTCACACTAACAGGTGCTTCCCACCAGCAAAGCATCCCATCCATAATGCTTTTCCATATAAACACCCCCGTTTCCATTCTGCTTTTCAAATCCACAAACAATAGCAGACCTAGTTCTGGGTGTCTATGTGGCAAAGAGCTCGTGGGATTCATATTCTGAACAGTCATAAGAAGCAGGAGGAAATGGCACCAGAGAATATGAGACCGGGGGCAAAACAACAAACAAAACTCAAACAGAGCTTGTGTTCAAAACTCTGGCTGGACCACATACCTTAAAACAGGAAAACAACTCAGGTGACAAAGTTACAAGTCATGTAAACACAGCACATTTCACCAGCCCAGCACTGTGTTTAATATGAGGCGGCTCTCACTGTGTCAACATGTACACAACACATAAAACGGTGTTTCCCACTGTAAACCTGCCTGGATGACACCTGCACCCAGACTGACCATCTAACTCCAGCCTGAAAAGACCAGTAAGTGTGCTAACATCCACTAGCAGCGTGTGCTAAGAGCCACATTAGCCGTAGTGCATGAGACAAACAAATAAACACCTGCGTTTACTCGGTTAACATTAGCCTCGCTAGAGTTATCCTAACCTAACAGGCTGGCTGTTTAAGAGCTAGCTTGCTTTATATTTTTCCAGGAAACATGTTATGTGGACATTACCCTCTTTCACTCCAGGTAGTTTATTCTGGTCGATGCTAACGTTACATTCAGCCATGTTGTCACGGATAATAAGTAAAAACAAGAAAAAGAAAAGAAAAAAACCCGTTGACGGTGAATTACACTTCAGCGTTTTTTCCGAAGGTTAACGGCAGCCTGATTGATCGCCTTAACTCATAAACCCGATTGATGGTTCAGGTGCTGGACGACCCTTTGATTAGTTTCGGTAACCACCCTCTCCTGATACGTCGCCGCTGTAATTGCCAGGCTGTTACTCTGCTGTAGCTAGCTGCCTGTCAGATTGCTAGCGTCCCTCCCTCCCTCCTACACCCGGCCAACGGAGTAAGAGGATATTTCCTGTCTAGATTTTTCAGAATAAAATACCAGCGTTCGCAAGACTTGTGCAGGAAAAATAAATCAATTCAATTTAATTCAATTCAATTTTATTTATATAGCGCCAAATCACAACAACAGTCGCCTCAAGGCGACTCACACACACACTCGAATAAAAAGAAAAGAAAATCAAAGTGAAGATTGTTCAAGAGTTCCCTTATTTATTTATAAATATTAATTAAAAATATTTATATATTCGTGACACAATAAATAAAGAAATACAACTGAACCATGCTACTGACTACACCAGACCTACATGCTTACGAACTTAGCCCAGCCAGTATAACTTTAACCTTTGACTGTGCAAAAGCCAACATTTAGATTTAGCTTTATACTTTAGGTTTTTTGAAATGTACCTTTATCAGCCAGCTTCCCAAACATTTATTGAATATATTATTAAACTAAAAGAAACGTTTAACGAAGCTCTCCATTGAGGTAAAAAATTGTCTAAGAATACACTTATGTTTCGGAAAATGAGACTATTTGAATTTAAACCCTTACATTATAAATAGCTGAAATACATCACCAAAATAAGCTAGTAATAATTGTGGATTTTCTAAACTTGGCATGATTAGTACACGAAAGTGCTGCAGTTTTAAGTGTATATTTTCATAGTGATCATTACAAGTCAGCAGCATATGATACAACTGCTCCGTTTATAAATTCAGGGACATAAGAATGCACTGCTGCTATTAACGTCTGCTTTAAGCTGAAAAGTGAGTGAGCACACTTCCGGTTGGTTTCTAACTACTTGCGGCTGACTTACGAGAGGCTTTGAATTGACGCAGCCCTCTTCTCGAGGTTCAGCTGCTGTAGACGTGTGCTGCATGTGCAGCTTCGGAAAGTCTTCACCACGAAGCAACCGTGGGTCATCACTACGGTGCACGCGAGCAACGATTCATGTGTGGGAACCGTCAAGGCAGACTGAGTGAATGGATCCGCATTTACACGCGTCATGCCTTCTATAAAATACACGCTCACTGCAGCTGCTCTTTTGATTATGATAATCTAATTGCTCCCTCTGGTGTTCAGCTCTACCACAACCGCTTCCAATTGAGATAACATCCCTAAAATAAGTCGATGGTAGCGGTCCATTTGCAGATAAATCAATGGGATTGTTTGTGGTCGCGTGCACAGACGGCTTCCTTAAGTGATGCTTAAGCAAAGCAGTTTTACTGTTTAGTTTTTCAGTGAAATACAATGAGGTCAACAAAGGCCTGACCTCTGATGTTAAAGATGAAATAGAACAGAAGCTGGACTGGAGGCTGTGGGGCTCTGAGGAGTGCTTAAACTGCTTGGGTTATGCTGTTACAGAGTTACGAATGCATCGTAAGGTCTTTAAGTGCATCCAAATGATATTTAGTTGGCGTGAACAGTGACTGCCTCCTGCAGACTCAGTAGCCTAGTTTCAGTTCTTTATCGGTACATTTGGTTTTCATTTACAGACCCTGAAGATCCCCTCAGCACAGTCTTTCCTGATTCTTTAGCTTTCGTGTTTGTAGTCTCTTTATTTGTGTATTTAGAAGATGAGTGGCTAAAGGAGCGAGCTTGTGGAAACCCCCTGTATGCAAGTCTCATTTCAAAGGACTCTTATAATAACAGCCAAATTTAGCAGGTTCAAGCAGTTCATTTCCCTTAGCCTGCACAAACGCTGTGTGCGCTCCTCTGGCTGACGTATGAAATGTGATTTCCTTGATTCATAGAATAGGATACGGTAAAATGGGAGGTGTGGGATGTTTGGCGTTGCCTCAGTGATGGATGCTTCTTCACCTCCAAAGCAGTCCTGAAGCCAAGATTGAAGAGCCCGTCTCTGGTTATGGTGCACTTAAGGACCGAATCAATTTACTTGCCACTCTTTCCCTAGGCCAACCCACTCCTGCGTACCTATTTTAGGAAGCAATTAAAGTAAAAGAAAAAGACTTGCGAGTGCCAAGAACATCTGATCCTGGTTCACAACCAACAGGTTGATTAATAGCATCCTCTCTTTTTGATTTACCCGTGTCAGAGTGATGTAGGGTTTCTGGGCCGCACGTCCGCGTCAGATCGCTGTATTTCATTCAGACGATTCACGGGCCCCGTGAGAAGGTGGCTCAGTGACGAAGTCCACAGTGACGAGAAGTGAATTTAGTAATCAAGGGGCCGACAGGCCCCTCCTCCCAGCTCGGAGAAGTATAAATATATTGACGGGATGGTTTTAAGCAAGTGGACATCTAGCCTTGCTCGAAGGAGTGCTCACAGTGCGAAATCCGCTTGAAACATTACATTGAATGCCATGGACAGGGTTACAGCTGTGAGCTACTGTTTAGGACTCCTGAGTTTGTTTCTACTGCTCAATGTAGACGGGAGGAGCCTATTTAATCCAGGTGAGTGTGCAAAACAGCACATTTTATTTGAATTAGAATGCCAAATGCATGCAACTGCTAATTAAATGCTTTGTCTATCACTACAGTTTTATCAAATTTCAACATATTGAGAGATAATAAGCATATAACTCACTGTGTGTTTGCTTTGGTACATCCAGGAAACCCTGCTTTCAGTCAGAAAGAAGACACAGATTCCCAGAGCAAGATTCTGGCACTATTACTGCACAAAAGCTTGGTCCCAGTGGAAAAGGATGATCCTCTGGGTGAGACCTACAAACAAATGCCTGTGATAACATGCACAGGTACATTTCTGCTTTGGTTAACTGGGTCTCCTTTCTGCAGGTGTTGAGCTGGCTAATAAATTAGCTGAGATCGAGGAGGTAAGGCTTATTTTAACTGGCACTAATAAAATGTGATTTCGATGTTATTATAATGTGAACAAGCTGCTCGTGTATAAATGGCGCACTCATTTTTTGTTTCACATTCTCAAAAGTTGTTACAGTAATTCACAAAAACATTGGAAAACCTCTCTCGATGTGTTATAATCACTTTGATCTGTATTTCTAGCTGAGAGTGCTGAGGGAGGACCTGGAGCTGGAGAGGAAGATTACAGCTAATATGGTAGAAGGCAAATCCATAACAAGGAAACGCGGAGAACGTAAGCTCTAACATTTACAATCATTACACTATAAATATACTTAATATGAGCTCATTGTACAAAATGCTGTCTTTTTGCCTGTAGCCTGCTTCTGGAAGTACTGCGTTTGAGACGGATGCGAGAGGAGGATAACCACTGTGAAATCTTGCTGCAAAGCCCAACATAGCCTTAAAACTCAGACTAGCAGTAGTATAATCACACTGTATTTATCCCAGCAATATAGAGATGTAACATAGTTGTTTCATTAATAAAGGTTTCGTTTCACCGTGGCTTTACATCTAGAATCTGTAAATAATCAGCCGCTCACTGGAAATACTTGAGGGTCACATATGACGAAACATTACACATTACTTTACCTGAGAGTTTTCTTTGCATGACACGTGTGTTTCTGTCGCCCTCCTGTGGTAGAATTGGGAATTACATGCTTGTTTGTTTTTCACACAAGCTCTATCGCCTCATCACTGCTTATAGAAATGCACCGCTGTTAATTTTACTGTGTAAATAAAATCATAATGTGAATCTGTACTTCTTGTTTTCTTTTTTCCTTTAAAAGTTTCAATGTTTAGAATTGATTTTAGGATTAATTTATTTAGTATTTTTTTTAGTATTTATTTATTTATTGTCATTGTCAAGAACAATGAAATTGCGTTTGGGGCTTCCATACAACCCCAAAAAAAAGAAGAAAATAATAAATACCCCTTAAAACCCAAGTGTACATATTTAACCCAGTGTGACTCCAATGCAATAAGACAATCCTTAGCAATAATGTTCGTAGAAATTCAGACAAAGACCTGAGAAACATGACAAAATACAACAATGCAACCCATTCAATATTATTGTACTGTGAGATATGATATCAGATATGATAGTTATCTATTTAAGAAAGGGGGGGGGGGGCAGGAGGGGGAAGAGAATAAAGATATGATGCACCAATGCAGACCAGTTCATTGCTATTAAGAAGTTGGATATGGTTATTGTCCGTGAGAGGGGGGCAGAGAGTTCAGGAGCCTCACAGCCTGTGGATACAGGCTGTTGGCCAGTCTGGATGTTCTGGCCTGTATAGACCTGTACCTTCTCCCTAAGGGCAGCAGGTGGAAAAGGTGGCGCGCAGGGTGATGTTGGTCCCGCAGGATACTGTGCACCCTCCTCAGACAGCGAGTGGGGAAGATATTACTGATCTCTGGCAGACTTGTTCCAATAATTCTGCCAGCTTCTTTCACCACCCGCTGGAGTGCTTGCTGATCGGCCTTGGTGCAGCTGGGGAACCACACTAGAAATCCATACGTCAGAACGCTGCTGATGGCACAGTTGTAGAAGTTCAACATCAGAGATCTGGGAATGTGTGCGCTCCGCAGTCTCCTCAGGTAGTAGAGGCGCTGTTGGGCCTTCCGTACAACTGAGGTGATATGGTTGCCCCAGGACAGGTCCTCGGTCACAGTTACCCCCAAGAATTTAAAACTGCTCACCCTCTCCACCGCCTCACTGCCAATGAAGAGAGGCAGATGGTTGTTATGGCCCCTCTTCCGGAAATCTACAATGATCTCCTTGGTCTTTTTGGTGTTTAAGACCAAGTTATTGTCGTGGCACCATGACTCTAGTTGTTGCACCTCTGTCCTATAGTTTGTCTCATCATTGTTGGATATAAGTCTGAGCATAAGTCATCTGCAAACTTAACAATGAGATTGGACGCGCAGGAGGAAATACAGTCATGGGGGAAGAGAGTGTATAGCAGAGGGCTCAGAACACACCCCTGAGGGGCACCGGTGTTGACCACAAGGGTGGAAGAGGTGTTCTTACCCACTCTGACACTCTGTCTACGGTTAGTGAGGAAGTCCACAATCCAGTTGCACAGAGAGGAGTTAAGTCCCAGTTGGTGGAGTTTGGGACGGAGTTTGTATGG